AAATATCACATCATTGTTTTTATCTTAAAGGATAAGGTCACTCATTTTCTGTAGTAACAGTATTTACAGAGTCTAAAACCAACAGTGAATTGTCTCTGCTCACTGTTAACATCTGTCAGTCCTGGTTTAGCTTATTCGTCCATGTTATAGACCTCCATGGTTGTTCAAAAGCAATTAAGAACCCATCAGGGAAGCGCACTGATGCACTTGTTGACATGTTTCCTCATTATGAAACACCAGACCATGATATTAAGAATATCCAGAGATCTTGTGCATGGGCCCTTGAATCTTACTTACTGTACATCAGATGCTGTAAAAAGTTGTGGCCGTTTGGAGCCTTTAGGGCACAATTTTTAACAAATATCGTGTGCGGTGGGGGTGGTTTGTAATGAAGAAATGTCACCCAATGCAGCGCTGTGTTTCTCTGATGGGTTGCTAAAGCAGCTCGAGATGTTAATAAAGCAATATCCTCATGATGTAAACGTTCTCTTATGCACAAGAGACTGGTTTAGGTTAATATAAGTTTGTCCTTGTTCACTGAAGCGGTTTTCTACCACCTGCACCACAGCCTGCATGAAAACACTGATATTCTGAATGTGCACAGGCTGAGTAACAGGCAGACACTGATAAGAGAAACTGGCATTGAAACCACACAGTAAGAAGAGCTGAAGGACTCAACATGCCAGTCATAATCATAATCACCATGCAATGTGCAACCCCTACAGAACACTGTGTGGCTGGCAAAGGTGGTTTAGAAAGAGATTAATAAAACAAAAATAGACTAATCAAAAAACTATTGATCCTTGGTCATGCATTCACAATAAAGTACTTAAAGTAATTAGAAGTATAAAAGATAGTTACCAGCAGCTCCTCTGAGAATAACTTGACCCCCACTGCGGGAGGCTGAACCGGATTCTGGCCCTCTTGTCACCGTCAGTATTTCAGCTGACCCTGAGATCAACTCTGACCTCCTCTCAGCCCCACACGGGCTCAGCACCGCAAAATACGCAACACAGACACACATATGTAACTGAAACCACACACAGCCACACAAATAAACAATATTACAGCCAGACAGGAGCACATGCACACACACACACACACACCCCCGCGGCCTCAATGTGAGAAGTGGCTCGTTAGCAGACTGTAATCAGCTTAGTGCTCTCCAGTGCCCACCGGCGTTAAGCTCTTTACAGACAAACCCAGTTAAAGCAGCAGAGTGATGCCACGGCCCCACATCCAAAGAGCGACACAACAGTGAGACACACTCAGATCATGGGGAGAAACACTGTGGTCATCAAGATAACCACCTAGAGGTGTGTGTTTGTGTGTGTGAAGAGTGAATGCAGAGTGTGAGAAGCAGGGAGACAAATGAGTGTGTGGGAGAAAGGAGGGAAACACTCCTTCCTCGTCATCCTCCTGTGCACCCAGTAACCCCAGTGGGTGGCTGCTCCGTTCTTCTAGGCCTTGCCCGAAGCTCTCTGGCATACATCCCACACCACAGTGCACAATCAGAGCTCTGTAGCCACAGTCATGCTTGTACAGGGAGTTGACATGATGCCAAGCGCGCGCACACGCACAGCAATATACAGATGGACACACTCACATGCAAACTGTAAGAAAAAGTACATGTCAATCCAGGCTAAAAACCATAAAAGAAGGGCTGCAGCCAACCAGTATTTCCATTATCTCTTTTAAATTAACAGATTATGTTTAATCTAATCTAATGTGTCAGAAAACTGGCAAATGTGCCTGAACACCTAAATATTCCAGGTGTCAGAAAACTGGGAAATGTGCCTGAACACCTAAATATTCCATTTCCAAACACAGAAAAGAAGCTGAGAGCAGAGAATGTTCCTTTTCCATTGTCACTTAGAAAATCTTAAGCACAGATCTCTCTGACCTCTGACCCTTAAGACTAGTTAGACAGGTAGCTAGCAGCAGACTGGTGTCATGTGATAGTTACCTGCCCCTTCTCTGCCTCTGACTGGCAATTGTTCATGGACCAGTTACAGTTAATGATCAAAATAGGCTGGAACAAAAAGCGTAGGTGTGTGTCAAACTCCCACACACATAGAGGACAGAGTGCTCGTAAATCAAAACACAGCAGAGACTCTCAGGATAGTGTTTTATTACGCGACTATTTTGGTCCAAACATTTACCCACCAGTGTGACACCTGGTCTTCTGAGACTTACTCGCCTACGGAAAATCTGACCCTGCTCTGACGAGGCCTGCTTCTAGTCTTTATGCTAAGTTAGCCACCCTGCTGGGAGTGGTATCTATCTTACCTCATTTCTAGGCAAGAATGCAAATAAGTCTTTCTATAAATCGATTAACCCAAAAAACATTTCAATTACAATGAGTAATTCATTTGACTAATCTTAAACAAATATTCCAACATTTTGGGTCACTCACTTACTTACAGAAAGTCAGATGAGGAGATTGATCTCACTTGTGTGTGTACTCATTGCACTGGCTGTATAAAATATGGGTGCCATGACAGCTCCCAGAAGTGAATCCATCACTAGTCGATCGTCCCAGGTGGCTGTTCGCAGTTTAGGTCATAAATCCCCACCCCCTCTGTGTTAGTGGATGTGACATGGGCTGAACTAAAAGCTCAAAGTACAAATCTGATACATTTTTCCCAGAGGTCACTTCTGTGGCTTTTGGTGGATAGTATCACATTGATGTGTGTACAAGTGGTCATTTTTATTTGATAATATAAAAAGAGGTGCATTTCAGATGATTTGGCAGCTTTGATTGGCGGCCTGATGCCGTTACTCCACTTCTGGTCACTACTGCGTAGAATCTGGTTGCAAAATGCCAAGATGACAGTTGCCATATTCATGATATTTTGGCTTCACTTTTGCATCATGGAAGGAAGTGGCAATGTGATGTCCATATTTAAATATGGTCAGTGATGTCATCTTTCCAGTGAAAAGGATTGTTTTTTGCACAGATTAAACAAAAAGAGATGTTTCTGAGTTTTAGTAGGTGACAGAGGTGCTAACTGTTCCCACCTGTTCCCAAACAAGCTGCAGCTTCATCATTCAGACATGCATCAATATCACTCTCGGTGAGAAAGCAAAAAGTATACTATCTAAAATACCAAACTCCAACTTTGATCACTAATTCAGAGTGACACTAATGTATTGCCTGTTAACCAAGCAATAAATCAAACATTCAAAGTATGACGTGCACAGATGTGCGTTCCAAGTCTGCGTTATGTAACATACTGAAACCTTCATAAATTCACAGAATCCGTTTAAGCAGGTGCCTGCCCTTACACACATGCTGTTTGACAGACACGCTCTGCAAGTTATCTGAAACCCGTCCCTCTGATCTGACATTCAAATAATGTAGTTTGTACCGAGTCTGACGGATGGCCTCGCTCCGCAGTGACCCTACAAGACGTGCATTCATTCATTCATTCGAGCACCTTGTACAAAAACACGGCCGGCTGCAAGCTCCGTAATCTGTGGAACATGATTATGAGCAGGAAGAAGCAAAGTCTAGTGTGAAAATAAAAAAGAGGGAGCAAACAAAAAGTCCACTGGGAAAGAGAGAAAAGACAGGAAGAGAGAGGGGTCTGAAGAATGGAGGAGGAAGGCAGACAGGCTTTGTTCAGGACAGAATGAGCAAAACAGGATTGACAAAAGAGACAGGAGGTGAAGGTTACTTCAGCCATTAGCTGAGGAGCTTTTGACTGATCCCTGCTTCCCGAAAGGCGATTGGCTCGGACGACCTGGCTCTGCTTTTATGACTTTGAGCAAAATACCATCAACACTAGAGTGTGTGCAACTTTGTGTGCATGTGTGTGTCAACCAAACACATCAAGGCTTCAAATGTAAATAAAGAGTTCTGAGCTGAAAGGCAAGCACAAACTGTACCGGTGTTGTTCTGCAACATTCAATGACAAGTTCAGCGCTTGCACAAACAAACACACACACACACACACACACACACACACATTCAGTCTGTCCAGAGGCGCATGTGCCAATACAACTCGTTCTCCTGTAGCTGTGAGTGTGTGTGTGCATGCGCCAATGCATGTGAATAAGGCACTAGTCAGTCAAAACATGACTAGAGTACTGAACCAAGGGCTGACGTTTTACTGCCTAATTACTATTTGCTCGGCTGGGCGGCTCACCAGAAACGCGCACACACACACCCACACACCCACAAAAGAAAAAGGGCCACAACCGAGGTCTTACTGATGAGCCCTTGAGCAAAAGGCTTAACCCCTGTGGATGAGGGTAACTCGGTAACTGACTGAGGAAAAGTGTTTTTTGGTCTGAAATACATATCCTGGTCTTGTTCCTACATGATACTAACCTGCATATCTGTGGATTCCAGGCTGTTGGTCGAACAAAACAAGCAAACGTTAGCTTGACAAATAAACTATTAATTGATTAATGAAGAACATTATCAACAGATTTGACTATCAAACTCCCAAATATTGACATTGCTACTTGGATGAAATGTATTAAATCAAAATTTATTTATACAGCACTTCAGAAAAAACAACTAGTTGACCAAAGTACTTCACATCAGTGCTTCTAAAATGGAATGACGTCATAGTATACAGTGGCGCAAAATGAAAATACCCAAGTACACATACCTCAAAACTGTAAATGTACTTAGTTACTGTCCACCACTACTTCACATACATAAGAATACAGTCAAAGAAACAGTAAAAACATTAGAAGAGGAGACATGTCAACTCCACTATGATCCAATAATAAGTCTTGAACAGATCTTATGTTAACAGCTGAACTGTTCCACCGTTTTGAGTCCATCACAGCAGAAGTGCGATCACCCAGCCCTCGGTACTGAAATCTTATTTATTTGGGCAGGTGTTTAGTACTGGTACCATCTAAGGCATTTGTTTACCCGTGTATTTTATTTATGTGATGTTTTCCTGCTTTGTTTGTCTCTATACTGTTTTTTTTGTTTGTGTTGTTGGTCTTGATTATCTTCTGTTTTTGTTTTATTTTACTGTTAAGTATTTTTAGACAGGTGCTATAGAAATAAACTTTGCTTTGCTTTATGCTTTTGGACCTTTAAAAGAAAGGGGCTGAAGGGATCTAACGGGCTTGTGCCACTGAAGTGCCTTAAAAACAAATCCCAAAAACTTAAAATCAATTCTGAAATGAAGTGGAAGCCAGAACAGGGTTTTCCAGTATGTGGTCATGCTCACAAGGACTTAGAGCAGCGGTTAGAGAAAACTAACTCCAGAGTATATCAGAAGATCTTTCGAGTTGTAGATACAACATTCACACAAAGTGTGGGCGTGTTTTTAACTTAGGTTTAGTGATAAGCCAGGAATTGATGAGTCAGGTGTGTATGGCTTGTGATGGCTGCAGATTAGACCAAAGGATGAGTCTGCTACATTCTGAACCTACCTGGGTGTGTGGAATTATCGGCATTGTACACAAAGCCACACACACCCTGTGTTCCTCTGATCTGTTCCTCTTCAGGCTTCATGTGATGAGCACAAGAATGAAGCCACTCAGGTCCTCTCTCTCGCCCTGACCTCGTGGATGTGCTGTCAAAGACGAACATCGTTCTTCTGCAGCTATTAGAGAGAGCAGGCAGAAAGATCCAGCTGTGTGTGTGTGTGTGTGTGTGTGTGTGTGTAAGAACTGACATGGTGTGAGAGAAGGGTAGTGTGGCCTGACCAAGGTCTTGGCAGAAAGAGTGAGAACAAAAGCAGATGGTGATAACATGGTGGGAGTGAAGCAAAGAGATGGAGTGAGGGAGGAAAAGACAGTGAAGAGACATAGGAGGCAATGAATGAATGGCTTTTTTCCCCCCACTGGTTGTCACCAAGGTAACACAAGCATGACGCACGCCGCCTTCTGTTCGTCAGACATCAAACCACACACAGGAACAAGGTTCAGCCCTCACGGTCTCACACCACACTTTGACACAGCTGGAAGTCTTTTACTGCGGCTCAATGTCTCGCCTCACTGCGGTGACGGAGCCGTGTCAGCGCACCGTGACATCCCTGCTGGGTGCCCATATCTGGCCACATCCTACCACGACCGCCACACCTATCAGCAACATGGGGTGTCGGAAAACCTTCAACGAGACAGAAGGGTAAAACAGTTTTTAACCCTGGTTGTAAATTATATTTGAACTAAGCTGATCTACAGCTGAATGTAACAACTGTTCCTAACATGTAGCAAACAAACTCAAGGTGAGCGTGCCTCAAGTGCACACCTGTGTGTTATGAATTTTTTTTTTACTTAAACGCTGGATGCCGTTACATTTGAAACTGTAACACCACTAACCAACATAAACCATCTTGACAGCACCTGCTTCCCAGGTGTCGGTCCGGCTGCTCAGCGTCTGCTGTACATTTACCATAACTCTGTCAAGCAGCTAAACATCCAAGACGGTGCCAGATGTGACTCAGCCTTCGAGTCCTCTAATATGCACGTGTGAGGGACAGATACACAACCTTCTAGACTTCCTGAAAACCCAAACAGAGGAAGGTTGTTGCTGTGTGCAGTGTGAGTTTGGTGACTCCCTGAACAAACCACCCAAACAAAGCAAACTGGACTTCACAGAACTTAGCATCCTTGGATTTAACAAAAACAAACCACCCTAAAAGAAGACAAAAAAGGTGGCAGCTGAGCTTTGTGATCTTCTCTGCTGTCGCCGTGTAACTATGCAGATTGTTCAGCATCGTCCCATGAGGAAAACATTCGGTGTAATTAGGCTAATGAAGGAAAGATGAGTTTGCAATGTAGAAAACTGATCAAATTTCCAGCACAATATGGATTATGTAATGATAAGATGCAGTGGTGCAGCTCTCACTGTGTCCTGCTTTTCATCTCCATACACTCCCGTAAATCTCAGAATGAGCCACAATAAATAAATAAATGCTAAAAGCTGCTGAAAATGTTGAGAACCACCGGACCTTGTATTTATCCTGTCGCGTGTTCACTCCTGCTGTTTTGACTCCGTGTCTGTGTGTTCCTACGCACAGAGCGGAGCTGTGTGTCACCGAGAGACCAATCATCTGTGTCTGGAAAATGTGAGCATCTGTTTGCGAAGGCTGGAGCTCAGTGCACCTCTAGTACCGAGCACAAACAAGGATAAGAACAAAACACACACACACACTGCGCTGAGCCTCACCCTCTTCTGGGGTCACATCCCATCCACGTGGTTGTGTTTTACACTACTAGTGCTGTTATTCTAACCTAAAGAAGCATCTCAGCTGTGTGTAGTGTGTGTTTATCACAACATAGACTCTTTACGTGCTCACCTCAAGTTTGTTTAACGATTTAATGAACTAATACTTACTGAAATAGTTTGAATTTCTCATTCTCCTTAACAGGTTTTCTGCTTTATGGCTAAAAAGAAGTCCAACAAGGAAACAGGAGCAGTTTTACCCAACTTCTGAACGGGCAGCAGGAGTTTGTACTGGAGCGGACTGAGATTATAGTTTCATTTACATTTTAACAAGGTTTAATTTCACACAGTAAGGAAGAAGAGAAAAAAGGAAACGTGTTCCTCCTGTTTTGTGGGTGTTTTTATTGGTGCACTGATGTATTTTGTTTAAATTAATGTTTTTTTTCTTGTGGGGTTATATTACTAAAACGATTAGAAGCTAAACTTTCTGCTCACAGTTTATAGTGTGTCCTTCTGCCTTAACTTTGGCCTACTTCACTTATCATAGTTATGTGTGCACGGTGATGGATTGTTATATATTGTATTGACATTTGCAGTGTGCTCAGATAATGTGTTTGCTTATCTGAAATTTGTATATGCATCTGCTTGTTCCTCTTGTTCTGGCATAACCAAAAGAAAACTGGAAAAATATCCCAAGTTGTAAAGAAAGAATTTTCCTTCAGCTTCTTTTAATCTATGAAACTGTCTGACCAATCCGAACCTTCTCTCTGATGAACCGAAAGGAAATGCACCTCATATCCAAGCCATATCGTCCCCTCCTCTGAACTAAAATCCAACTATTGAACAATAAACTCCTCAAAACTTTAAGAACGTTTCACAGAGTCATTCCATAAAATCTAGCAATTTATGACTAAAAACTAAAGATATACTAGAAAATATTCATAAGACGTGGGGACAGTGCTCTCTCTCACACACACGGTCAGTTATGAATGAGTTCGGCCCATTAGGCAACAACAACAAAAAAATGTAAACAGCCTCATTTCTGCATGTGAACCGTCAACAACATTCAAGCATTTCATAAACTATTTCCGTGCTTTATGAGCACAGTGATGATGGATTAAATAAACACGTGGGTCTGTGGCTGGCCTTCAGGATTTATTTTTATTCATATTTACTTTATATCTAGGCTACAGCTACAAATGCATGGATATCCCCATAAGAAAAGCCATCCTCATGGGGGAAGCAGCATGTCTCAGGGAAGGATTTTTAAAGGCCTACAGGTTATTCTGAGTCTGGCACACACCCACCTCCAGATGGCAAAGAAATAAATAACTGGCTTGTAATAAAAAGCCGTCACATGGTTTTCCTGGAGGAGATTGTGAGGGTGGTGGTTGAATGAATCTAAATTAACATTTTGTCCTGAAAAACCAGTCGAGTTTATGAACTAATGGGTCACTCGGTTCTGCTGAAGGGCACGACGGGCCTCACACACACACACACACACACACAGATCCAACACACTCACATTTTCTCTGTAAAGATACAGCTTTCAAACGTCGCACATTCATTCATCATTTGGAATGAACTAGCTCACCCTGCTTTTCCTCATTATCAAAACCCCAAGAGGTTATTTTTAAACATTACATAATACATAACCGCTGTCCATTAGGATTCCTTTTGGCACACGTCCCACTACTGATGTTCAGTTTTAGCCTTTGGCCATCTGTGCCAGAAGTATGCACCCCTGAGACATGCACACAGTGTTCTCCTGTACAAGCTGGTGCCTGTTGCAGAAAAAAAAAATCCTGTAATTACAGCAGATCAGAATCCTTTAAAAAATGCACGCAGACAATGAAATTAATCACTTCTAAATTGTGTTTTTGTCTGGTGTAACATTAAGTTAGCTCTCAGGTACCATCCCTGTTGGTTGTTGTCTCGTTTCTTTTTCTCCCTGGTTGCCGTGTGCTCTACAGCAAAAACCCTAAAATCTTCTGCAAGCATTTAAAGGTTCCAGTGAAAAGAGAACCGTCTGAAACGAGTAAAGACAAGGGGGGATTTTGGTGAAAACATGTTGAACAATAGTATGTGTAGTGAACAGAAGGGAGGGAAGGAATTTCAAAAATCCATCTGCTGAGATGTCAGACAAGGATGGGAGTTGTGACGAATGGATCAGCGGTCAAATAGAAATACAAAGACAGCATTAAAGAGGAGATAAGAAAGGAATCAAGAAAGAAACATAGAAAAGACAAATTATAGAATGCAAGAGAAAATAGTTTGAGGAGAGCCCAGTAGTCTTAGGCCTTAGCCCTGTTGAGGCCTGCCAGCCCACTGCGGCAAAAACGCTCGAACAAAAGGATCATTTATAGGAGGAGGAAGGAGCAGGAGGAGGAGTGGAAGGATGAAAGGAGGGGGAACACTGTACCGAGGCATTTGAGAGCTGTGTGAGTGAAACACTGGCCCCATCTCAACATTCACAGTCAATGTGTAACATTTTCCCCCACGCTCCCCCACGCTGCCCCACTGACGTACTCAGCAGCCAGAGCCCATATGGTCCCACTGTGGAAGCCTGTTAACCTTTTTATTTAAATTACACCTAACAACACCAGTTGCTTCCACCTCCATTTCCCAAAAAACCAACATGGTGACACACAGCACAGATGTAGGCTGATGGTTCATTTCCATCAGCGAAATCTGTGAAAACCAACTGTTGAGCTCATCACAGGGGCCCAAGAAGAACCTTTGCTAATGCTTTAAATTCTTCATTAAATCTAAATGTGGATCCAGGCTGTGAAATGTTCACCACAAAAACCCTGGAGGTTTAAATCTAACACAAGCTACAGTACGAGTCATGTGGAAGCAAGCAGTGCTACATAAACAAGGCTTGGCTGGATGCAGTCATCACAGGAGCCGCACTGTGGAAGATTAAGTAAGACTGCCGACTGTCTTACCAATGCACATAAATCCACATCTCCGTTTAAAAGCTGCTCGAGCTTTTTGAAAGTGCAGGCATCTTGTTTCTTAACAGGCCAATTTAGCACAGATTCAAAGAGACTGGAAACATCTCCATGACCTAGTTAGGGTATTGTTTAGCTGTAGTGGTATCCCACAGCTACAAAACCGCCTTACACAGTAGGAAAAAATGTAAATACAATGAAATTCATCATCTGCACTTACTGAACTCCCTTGCTAACAAAAAAGCTCGACAGCACTGCAGTGTGTATAATGTGCAAGTGTGCAAATTAATCTCATTCCTATATTACAACAAGAGTCCTGCAAATTATTAAACCTATTCTAGTATGATCAAGCAGTTTTTTTCCTCTTTAACAGGCTAAACATAAAAACTGAGATATCTGCTTTGATTAGACAAGAATTTTTATAGGTTGTTTTTACAGCTAAATCTACAAACCTGGCAACCCTTTTCCTTCATTATAAAATAATAATGTTAAAGCCTTAGGGCTCTGGCAAGTCTGACATGTGACCCATAAAAGAATAAATTAATTAAAATAGCATGTCCAGGTGGAGGAGAAACTGAAAAAACAGGGTCAAAGTTAAACCTTTCTAAACTTGGGAGTGTCAGCGACAATGAGTCTGAATGGTTTACTTTGCTAAGAGTAGCACTATGGTAAGATGTGTGCAACAGCTCTTCTCTCTGAATAACAATGGCTCAACAGGAACAGATGGATGCTTGTCAGAGAGGCAGCCGTCAATTTGCAGGCTACATGTAGCAACATTTTTCCAGCTACACGACTCTGGGCTTTGTTCAGACTTAACGCCTAGACATGAAATAGCAGTCCTATTCCTGGGCAGGGTGTGCATGTCTGAAAGGGGTCTGAATCTGTACCCAAACACAAAAGGAAAAACTGAACTGAGGGGGTGTATCACTGAGACACAACAATCAAGAAGTCTTGAGGGGATCAATAGTCATTTCCAGAATATACATATTGACTGATATTCTAATAGGTTGCCTGGCCTTTAACTCCTTACATAATCAGGTAAAAAGTACGCATATGCCTTTAAAATACGCCAAGCTCCGGAAAAGGAAATCAATTTACAAAATGTCAGAGTAGTCAATCTATATCTCATTATGTGCAGAAAGTCATACAAATCATGTGTCTATATTTTGTGATCTGGCGCCAACTGAAGTTTGATTATGGCCGGTAAGGGAAACTCTACGTCACTGGGTTATCTTGAAAGCACCTGAATAATGTGACAGAGCACAAATAGGAAGTCAAAGAAATAGATCATAGAGAAAACTAAACAAACATGATTACAAACACAATCTGTTTTAAAAGAAAATGAGCAACTCTTACCTGTTCCCTCCTTGTTTCCATTCTGGTGCGTTCGCAGCTCCTCTGATTTGTAGAAGTCGATGCTGGCGTATGTGTTAAGGCTGGAGCTGCTGCTGCTGCTGCTGCGACTGCTGTGCCCGCTCCCCCGATCCCCGATCCTCCACCCAGTGCAGAGAAGAGGCGAGAAGGAGCCTGGTTACCTGAAGGTCCATCTAAGCCCAAATGGGGGAAATGGGGACTTTCTTTGTTGGCCAAGTCCAAGTCAATGTAATTAAGCCCTTGCTCTGTGGTCAAAGTCTGAGTGTTTGTGGGAAGGGGCTGCTGTCCAGGAAGGAGAACCTGAGTAGGGGTATCAGATACAGCACCATTCCCCCACAGCATGGATTCAAAGCCCAGCCGACGGGCCACAGCTTGAGCATGTTCTGGAAAGAGAGAGGCAGTGGAAGAAGAGGAAGTAGACGTTGACGTAGACGTGGGGAGGGAAGGTGAAGCAAGAAAGGTTTCTGAGCAATGTCGCCTGCGTCCTTGGGGGTCAGCTCGGATAACTTTAGCCCCGTGATCTAGGTTGAGTCCCGGTTTGACTAGGGGAAAGTCTAGACCACGTGACAGTACTGGAACTGTCCTGGTGGGGGAAGAGTCTTTGGGGGAGACACTGGATGATAACCTAGGGATGGTGTTGCTATTCAAGCTGAAGGCCATCTCTGTGTAGTCTCCACAGGATGTAGGGGACTCAGACTCAGTCACTGATGGAATATTTTCCCTGCTTCTCCTTAGTGGGGCTTCAGCCTCTTCTGCTGCCTCTTCACAAGGACCAGAAGTACACTCATCACTGGCTTTGGGGGCATGAACAAGAGTTGGAGGTGTAGGAGGCGTGTGGAAAGAGGGGAAAACTAGAGGGGTAAGGGAGAGGGGTGAGGGGGATGGAGAAGGGCCCAGGTCCATGTTGACATATTCGGATGCAGCTGGGGGACTGATGGGGGCAGAGGGGCTAGGGGAGATCGGAATAAAATCCCCTAAGCAAGAAATTGGCCTGTGTTGAGGATGATGACTGCTTGAGCCATGAGGCAGTGATAAGCCATGCCTGAGACCCCTGCCACGTCCTCCTCCAACTCCAGTCTGGCTGCACTTCTCCCCCTTATACTCAATGCTTACATACTCTCCAGGGCTCTTAGGTTCTGGGGGTAGAGGGTTCTCACGGACCCTTGGGAGGGTGTTAGCCTTGGATACATCAACAAACAGGCTCACCGGTCTGTTTCTAGTATGGCTACCCTGCTTGGACAACCCACCAGAGCCCCATCTCTGCTGGAGCTTACTTCCATCTCTAGCCTGAGTTCCCACAGCCATTGTGCTCATTGCCTGGGTAGCTCTGTCCTCGCTCTCCCCAAGGCTCTCGCTGCTGGCTGAGCTGGAGGAGTATGAGGATGAGGAGAATGACAGGTGGCACCCAGCCACTGAATTGCCTCCTACTGGTTGATCCTGACGACCTCCCATAGTCCTACCTCCACACATTCCCCTGTTAAAACTCCCATTTGGCCTTCTGGCTCGTCCAAGCCCATCATCGAAGTGTCCAGACGATGGGTTATGTTTGTATGACCGTGGAAGTGAATAGTAAGAATACACCATCTTTGGGGCTTGCTGTTGTGAACTGGTCTCCAAATGACTAGTGTGCTCAAGAGATGGGGGGCTGTCACTTACAGAAAGTGCACTGATTGGAGACATGTTCATATAGTCACTGCCTGCCCTACTGTCTGCACTGCCACTCCCCACCCACGCCTCTCCAGAGAGACCTCCACGCTGGTCAGGGGAACAGCTGCTATTGGGGGACATTATCATGTAGCCGTCAGAAGTTGGTGGCCGGATTTGCTGTGGAGGGGACACACTGCTGTTAGGTGTCATGGCCATGTAATCATCAGCAGGTCTGGAATCTGATCCTGGGACAGAGACAACCTGTGACTGAGACAAAGATACTGGCGGCTGAGTGACACCAGGCAGCATGGACATGTACCCATTGTCCACACTTAAATCTACACTACCACCTTCTCCAGCACCCACTTCACCTTTGAACTCCCCTGCCACATCCAAGTACCCTCCTCCTCCCCCTGTGGACCCAGCACCTATAACAGGTTCCCTCTGTGTGGAAGAAGAGGTGGAAGAAAAGGACTCGCGGCTGGTGCTCCTTGACATGACTGCATAATAAAATGAATCATCTGCAGGCTCCTCAGCTCTACGCTGACGTGGGGCCAGCCTCTCCAGGGTCATAGGCGGTAAGGAAGCTCGCTTGCTCAGAAGCCTACGGTCAGCTTCACATTCACGGCTGGAGGAGCGACGCAACACTCTCTTGGTCTGGGGCTGGGACCCACAGACTGGCGTTTCTGGTGCTGGCAGAGGGCTGGATGTCAAACCTCTTTGATTACTGCTGCCACCACCACTATGCTGACCCATCAGGATATAGTTGGCACCCTCCTCACTAAGGGACTGGCTGCCAATGCTATCAACAGAGCTTCCAGGGAGGCTTGGAGAGGGGAGATGTGTGTGATCCCCAGGACTAGATCCATACTCGTCCGAGGAACCGTAGTCACTGGGTGAGCCTGAAACAGAAGCACGATGGGAGGGGACATGACTGTAGGCACCAGACCCTTGACCAACACCAGCAGATGATGGTACAACCCCAAACTCAGAACTATGCCCAGAGCTTGAGGGGAGGCTTGAGGCTGAGGAGGGCACTGGGGTGGAGATAGAGCGCATCAGCCCAAGAGGGGTTTTAGCAGCTGTGATGGGGGCTGAACGGACTGACTTTGAACTGAGAATTGGGGTTGTGGAGCAAGAGCCATTGGTGGAGGGGCTGGAGCTCAGCCCTTGGAGTGACACAGTCCCTGCTATTCCATCCTCTCCCTTAGCCCCATCACTAGCAGTGCGAGACCTTGGGAAGCTATGCCGTGGAGTGGGAGAAGCACTGGCAGTGCTGCCTCCTACTCCACTGTTAGTTCCTCCAGGAGGTTCAGTTCGAGGCCTGCGGATGAAGCCCACATGGCTGGGAGGAGGGTTTGGGTGGTGGCGGCGTGAGGAAACACTGATAGGGTTAGAAGCAGTAGCGCCTCCTCCAGGGCCAGAGTTCGACTGAGATTTGCTTCGTTGACGAAACTCCTCACTCAGCGCCTTCATGGCATCTAGCAAGGTTTCATGCATGTTCTGGGCCACCACCGAATCATCCACCTATGATGTGACACAAAAGCTTTCTCAAACAGTAAATCAGAATTCTGGTGGAGTCCAAATTTATTAGTGAATTCATTCTTAGTTACAATTACAGCCACTCACTCAATATAAACTCTATTTTTTGGACAGCTGCATTTTATTAAGCACATTTGAATTCAAGTTAAATTTGTTTAAAAATGCATCTTTAAATGAAGACACCTCAAATACGGGCCGCTCTTTGTTTAATTTATTAAAATTGTATGAATATCTTAAAATATTTTAACTAGATTTGCAAAACCTGAATTGACCCAAAATGCAGGGTTACATTGACTCTTAACTGTAACTTTGCCGTTTCTGTCACTGTTTATTATAAGCTTATATATGTGAGGTTGGAGGGTGAAGCAGTCAACATAAAGGGTGTTGTATTGCAAATGACAGGCTCACCTGCATCCAGAACTCGCCCGGGCCTGTCACGGCAGAACGTCCCACCTCGACAAAGAAGAAGTTTTCTGAATGGCCACAGCGTCGCACGTTCATCAGCTGCAGCACCACGGCAGCAGCATCAGAGTTGAGCTTGACAAAGCTGATCGTCTTGTCAGTTAGGCAAAGGCGGTAGATGCCCACCAAGTTCTTGGCCTGACCCAGGCCTTTGGGCCACACCTTCACCTGCCACACCTCTTTGAATGCAGGCCCAGGATTGGGAACACCATAGTCCCCTGCAGTCCCGCTGTCAGTGGGGTTCTTACCTGCAGGGACAGGACAGACAAAGAAGGAGATTAAAAGGCTGCTGGAATGAAAAAGGAGGAGGCAATGACTGGACAGGAAAATACAGAAAGGCAATGAAAGCTATGCCTGGCATAACCAGGGGTATACCAAGTGAAACCATCACTATTTGTGTTAGGAGAGCACCATCTGCCTTTATTATATGAGCTGTGTTGATATTGAGCTTTTCACCGAATTTAAACCTACATTCACACAGAGCATGCAGCACCTACTGAAACCAGCTCAGTAGGATCAGCTGTGCATGGACACACATACAACTGCACACATACCAGTGTGGAAACATTAACAGCTAAAGTGCTGCAAAAATGACGACTTTCAAAGTGAAGCAATATGGAACCATCATGGAAAATACTTAAGTCAGTCCTCAGTAAAACCAAAGCAAACATTGCCAGTAGATGGTCAGAAACTTTGTACTGAGCAAATTAAACTACTATATCTAGTGTATTTCTGCAGGGGTACAGGCAGCCCATTCACCCTTTGTGTAAAGCGTTCTGCATTTAGACAGATGGGAATGACCGAGGCGAGGAAACAGCTCTGGGTGCTGTGCAGCTCATTGTCAGAGGCTACTGAACCTGCCTGCCTCTGAATATATCAACACTTTCACCTCTAAGCTTCTTGACTTCCTGCCACAAGGAATCTCACATCTGTTGACTAAAAAGCTCAGGACCAGAGGAACACCATAATGTGACTCATGGTTTAGGGCAATTTTTAATTCTTCTTTAAAGGAAACACCCTAAAATTTTCCTTAAACTTAGTCCTTTTCCTCCCACGTGCTACATTTCATCATCTTCTGTCAAACTGCCAGGTTGTGTGAACAGGATGGCTCCCAATCTACACCATAAGTCATCTTCATGACGGGAGCGAAACCTCCGTGAAGACGCTCACCTGTTCCCCGCATGGGAGCCACGATGAACTCGAACACCTGCCTTACCACATGTGGCGTATTGATTTACTGACAGGACAAGTGATTTTCTGACGAGTAACAGTGAAAGATCATCTTTCACAAAGCTTGTGTGGTACTCTGCTTTAAGGTTAATCACAATGCACCCTGACCACAGAATTTCCCAGGCCTATGCTGCAAACTCCTACGATGACAACCATATGTAAGAACCACATAGTAACTGAGCTTATGTTGTGTCATTTATCTAGATCCTCTTCCTAAAACATTTTTACTTCTGACTGCAAAACAGGGAGCAGTCTCCTGTGTCTCACTGCGTCCTCTTCCACTGTGCTGCCCTAAAATTTGAGGATCATTCACAGCTTGAAAGAGTCCTAGAATAGATGTTTTGTTCAAAGCTATGGAGGCTGTGGCTTGGTGGCTGTGTGTGCAGGCACACCCCCTACATTAGATGAGTCAGTCAAGGCCACGCATGGCTGTTTCATGTTCTGCTTTTCTCTGTGTGCGCACAAGGAGCCCTCGATTTAGATTTACAACAGGAAGGGGCGGTGTGGGGATTTTCAGTGAGGACCGAGGGAATGAGGGACTGCAGGAGATTGGAAAGATTATCAGAGAGCTATTAAAGAAAGAACGAAGAGCCTTTAAACCTTTAAAGAGCAAAAAAGGTTTATTTTAGAATTGCTTGGATTAAAATAAAATCTAATTACAGGCTTTTTTTAGTCTAAAATTAAACTTGCTTTCTGAGATTGACTCCAATTGCAGAGCAGCATGTTCGTGGTGGATTATGGCTCTGTTTTCAAGAGCGCATTTAACATCTTGAGTAGAGCACAAGTGTTGTTTGTTTTGAGTACAGTGCAGCCTTAAACCTCAGCTGTGCCCTCAACTGCACTTACACACAAACACTCTTGATCTCAGGGCCGCTCATCCAGTGCTCTCTTGCTGATTCTCAGAAGCACTGGAAAGGTTGTTCCTAAATCCAATAAGGGTGCAGACTGATTAAACATCAGAGTGTTATAGGAAGCTGGGGTTGGTGATCATGGATAATCATGAATTTATAGACTTTTTTTTAACGGCACATGAAGAGGTTATCACCCGGTCAGCTTCAGTTGCAGCACAACACCACCCCTGTACAGCATAATGAATCCTCAGAAAGCCTGCACACAGAACGGCCCTTAGCAGGAGGTGAATCTAACAACTAAAGCCAGATGCACATGAAAGCAAAATACACCTGGAGGTAATGAGGCGCCTCGCTGGCTGAACAGGGACGAGGCGATAAGGGTGATCCAGCCAACCTTTATAGAGCCCAGAGGGAGCGTGTATACTGGGTCAAAGAGTTCTCACAAGGTGAATGAATTTAGTTAAGTTTCAATATAGCGTTTCCCTTTTTAGCCACCTGAAAACAATTTACACTGGCTTATTCGCGCAGCAGCTGTTTACTTCGCTTTCGCCACGACCACACATGAAACTTGTTACATGCGGCTGCCAAATGGGAACATACACGGGCAACACTGCTGTCTATTCATGCCCATTTATTCACTGTGCTCCTGTGCCTCCCTTGATATCACAGACTGTACATAAAGAGGCCATAATCTGACCCAATTTTATCAAACTGGGCTTTTAAATATGACTGTACTTAATGATGTTAAGGCGGAGCTGTGTCTCCCTTGCATTCTTATTGCCTTTGCATGTTAAGGGAGCGTGTGTATGCATGTGTTTAGGGGGGTATGGTGATGCGATATCTAACCCCAGGGCTGCCAGATGCCTGCTAGGATATTGACAGACAGCCCCCCCACCTTGAGTGACAGGCTGAATATTGTTATCACATAAATCCTAAGGAAGTAGGTCTTAAGGGCCCGTGGACTGTAACAGCTCACACAAACAAGGTAGGGGGTATTGTTGTTGGTGCGCTGGGTTTAAGGTTTTAAAAAAAGGAGCCATGTTAAAGCTGCATAACAATAAGTCTAGCATCTCCACCATCTTTGCATTGCCACCTTTATCTTACCATCAGGGAACTGCCTTTATGTAATCTGTGACAAACTATTTATCTTATATATTTAGAGCGATATGATAAAATCACTGTTCTTAGTGAGGGAATGCAGCCCGCAGATCATGGAAAACTACTCTGGCATTGAAGCGGCTGGCTCTCACTAGCTTCTGTTTCAAGTTTCTGATCTCACTGCCCTAGCACGTTATGCTGCGCCATGCACAGAAACTTCTGAAAGCTAAACACCATTCTGTCTCGGCTACTGTGCCCCTATACTGTAGCACCACCCCTACATACCAGCTTACCAGTGGAGTCAGACAGGAGAGAGCTGTGCATTCGGTCCTAGCATGTATCTGAGAGAGAAAGAGAGAGAGAGAGCCACTCTCCAGCGAAAACAGCTGGTCTAATCTCTGGCTGCCATGTGTGCCCATTCCTCCTCTTTTTCAACTCCTCTGCTTCCTATCTCTTCATCCACCTCTGCCATCTGTAATCCCCCCGTTTGGGCCCACGCTCAGGAACGCAATGCTTCCCCTGCACCAGTGTGTGCCTAAGGTTAGTTTCACATGTGGATTGTGTTAGTCAGAAGAGTACACACACGCACAATTTTATCGATGACACATAAAAGGTTTGCTGACCCTCGACACTGACATGCAAATAAGCTGTGTAGAAGTAAGCTGAACAAACTGGAAGCCATGTTGCTGGTTAGTCTGGTTCAGAATTTCTGAAACCGATATACCAAAAATGGAGAAGGGAGAAAGACCGAGCATCGCGTCTCCTGAGTTAACTGTATATGTGAGCAATATCAGGCATTACTATTACAGTCCAGCACCATTCTGTGCTTTTACTGTCCATAATGGTGACAAATTCCTTATCAGAGTCACAATATCCTTACGCTTGCACATTTTCCAACACATCAACTTCAAGAATGGACTGCTCACTTGCTGCCTAATAAATCCCACCTCTTGACAGGTGCCGCTGTAACGAGATAATCAGCGTTATTCACTTTACCTGCCAGCGGTTTTAATGCTGGGACTGATTTTTTTTAATTTACGACAGTTTGAGCTGTCCACATTTGTAAGACACAGTTAAGGTAAAGTACTGTTTAAGCATTTCTAAGAGATGTCCAGAGTAAACAGGAAACTCTCCAGCTCTCCAATACCCTGTTTACATTCCTGTGAGCCAAGTTTGTAGAAAACCAAATGTTTCATCCCGCTGTCACCTAATTTTGATTCAGAACTCCTGGATTTCATTTCGTTCCCACTGAACAATGCGTCCTTCTGTATCTATGTGAATATGATTTTAACATTTGCTGTTTTTTCAAAGACCTTTATATTTGCTGCAATGACTGAAAAAGCCAGGATTCATCTTGTGTGGACACACTGGTGTGTTCCAGTAAATTCAATCAATGCAGTATCTTGGATTGCATCTCCCAGAGGAACAGCACACCAGGTAATGAGGAAGGTTTGTCACTCATTTCATTTAGTGCAAGGCCAACTCATGAACTTCCTGACCCAGACCGTGACAGCAGTAATGGGCTGGTTTCAACCAACAGCAATCAATACAGTCCACTACTACAGGATGCTTTGCATTTATAGCCCCACGGCTCCATCATGTTCAACATATGGCTGCTGATTGACTAAATAGATCATGTTGCCCCTGGCCTTTCCTCGCTGTCCATCAAATCCAAGCACTTAACTGATGGGCTGCTTCTGCGGTGAGCCGACATGACGCAGGGTGCTCGAGGCCTTTTCTGACTTGTGCCTGCTACTGCAAGGAGCTGCTGCATCAAAACAAGGCAGAGCTGAAGCCCGGCTGCCAGCTTGTCGTGTTAAATGAAATTACTGAGTGTTAATGTGCGCAAACTATGTATGCAAAGGAAATACTCTGTGGCAGCTCAGCGCTCTGACTGAAGCCCTGTTAGAGAGGTTTCCGAGCTCCTCTCCAGAGGGCAAGGCAGAAGAGGAGGACACAGTGGCACTGATCATTCTGTTAAACTTCCTGTCAGACTGCCTCCAACTCCACGCTCTCTCCTTGAGCTTGTTAGCACACACTGTGCCACTGGCGGCTGACCCTCGAGACAATAATTACTGCCTAATTAGGGAGATGAGCGGTACTTAAGCCCGGCTTCACATTTAATCAGCCGGCTTGGCGAGCCGCTGGTGAGATCCAGACCTCACTGGCTACAGCAGCCAAACAAACAGTCTGACAGAGTCCTTACTCTAACAATGACCTCAACAATTAATGGGCTTTCTTTGTATTTGAAGATTAATCTTCTTTCAGGCAATTCATTGATTGTTTTGGCACTAAATCGGGGCAACTGTATCAGCATTTATCTGGGGTGTGTGTTTGTTGACAGTGTGTCATTTAGCGCCACTGGCTCCACAGTTTAACTGTGCCATATTGTTTTATTCAGGTCAACGACAGTTCCTAACGTGGTGCCCGAGCTATGGGGCAGTTTTGCTGGCAACTCCACTGCTGGGCTGCAGTGCAGTGACACAAATGTCATCATTCAGCGTCGGTCCCTCACAAACCAGTAAAAATAAACATGGGAAAGAGCAACAACAGCACAGTTTCACTTTTGTTGGACATTTATGGAGAAGCTTCTGATCAAGCCAAGCTGAAGCAGTTTAAGGACATTGCGCAACCTGACCAACGGAGAAACAACGTTGTTATTCTTGTATGGACGTGGCTCACATTTCAGTTAAATCTATGCATGTGTGGCAGTTTAGGAGCTCAGCAGTGTTGTTTGTGTTGATATGAACCATCGACACAAAAAGATCCGATATGACACCGACTAAGAAACTCTGAAGTGAGGATGAAGGCCTGTGATGTGAACGTAGCCTTTCATTCCAGCACCGGACAGGACAACAGGCCAAGTGAGCAGCTACACAGGTGTCAAACTGAAGGAGTGGTCCTCTGGAAACCCTGTGAGACAGACAGTGGAGCATCTGTTGGCTCTGGGCCCCTGTTCACAATGTGCAGGCTGTGAATTCTTCTGTCTCCCCACTGGGGGACATACAGTGTCCTGGCAGAGGAGTAAAGGTAGCTTTAAGCAGTAATTAGCTGTGACTACATACAAAACCTTCCCTGTACTTGCCTGGCACATGTGTTTTTTTTTTGTATGAACACAAACTGTGTATGAGCTGTGGCACATTACCAAAAGAAAATGCCTGCTTACAGTTTACACAGTCAGCCGCAGCCCTGTCACTGCCAGGGGGGGGTGATTAACACGGGAAACAACACCTTCAGCAACAAAGGAGGGAGATGAGAAGCCGTGACTGCAGAGCAATTCTACAGGAGTGGCATGATGATGGCGGACGCCGAGGGCACTCACCTGCTCAGCTGCAGCCTGTCTGACCTTTGTACGCAAGCACTTACTGTAACTGTGGAAGATTAGACTGTTTGCACTTTGGGGAGATTTTATTTGGTTGGAAAGAAGCAGAAAAGGTTCACACGGCTCCTCAGGCGTGCAGCTCCACTCCAGCATCTGTCTATTCGCTTTCCCGTTTCACAGAAACGTGTCAAATACTTGAGAAGAGTGGGCTCAGAGTCGCGCGTACACACACAGACACACATGGTTGTGTTAAAGCAACGGGGAGAGCCACAGTGTTGACACAAACTCCAGCTCTACACTGGATTCCCCCAATGCAGCTACTGGCAGCCTGCGACTTTTCTGCAGCTTATGCCAAACACCTCACTCTGTGGATCGTAATGAAAAGTGGAACATGAAAGACACCAGGATGAGCTGGCCTGGTTCTCCCTGCTTTCCCCGTCACTGCTCAGCTACTTTATGTAACAGAGCAGCAGGTCATGTGTAAGAAGTACCTTGAACTCGTTTGACAGGATTGCGTCATGTGTCCCTTGTGGTCTGTCTGGTGGGGTGGGCTGAACAGGTGATCTGAAAGTGCTGTGCTCCTCACTATCGCTGGGACAGCTGTGTTTACACAGGGGTTGATAGAAGCCAGTTGAGAGAAATCTACACTGATGATTTTGGGGGGGCAGGGGGTAGTTTGAAGAAGTAATCGGCTGCTTTCTCATTATCAATCAGGGAGTAAATATAATGTTGAATGAATGAATGAATCAAATGTGCCTGTACTCAGAGTCATGCTGGGACAGTAATCTCTGAGATCAACGCCTGATGTGATATTGCAGTGTCAGCAGGGAAGAAGAGCACACAAAGTAAACAAAAGGCCACGGTGTGTTTGAGCAGTTGACTCGGGGAAAGAGAAGCACACAGCTGAGCCACAGAGACAAACTCCGTAAAGACCGGAGGCCAAGCCTGACCCCAGTATGATAAGGAAGGATAAGCTCCACTGTCAGAGATCTGTAAACGTCCGACCTGCTTTAAAGGTCTAAAGAGTGACCAGCACCCAGCGTGGAGTCATACACCTCAGTGGGAGTCAACCCACGCCAACATGCTTTTAAATAACCCTGTTTATCCAAAACACTGGGACGAAGCGTGTCCCGACCTGCAGCGCGCTGTGCTGCTCTCCTCTGCCACGTTTGTCTCCTCATGCACAACTGTGTGTGTGTGTGTGTGTGTGTGTGTATATGCATGCATGCGTGTGTGTGTATTTGACTTTTGCTTACTTTTGCACTGAAGGTCCACCATGGCCTGGTACCACTCCTCCTGGTCCGCCTCGTTCTCCGCGGCCACGGCGAAGCTCTCGGCCCGGGTGTAGAGCACGATCATGTGCTTGTTCTTGGAGTCGGCCCGCTTGTTGATGTTGAAGCACGTCTCCAGCGCCACCGCTTTCTTCGGGATTGGGGCTTTGCCGCGGAATTTCTTCTCGCTCTCGTAGTACTCCAGGCGGGCTGGGCCGCGCTCCGAGGCGGCGCGGAGCACGAAGTACCGCCGGTGCATGGACTT